ACTCCACCAGAAAAACAACAATATCAGCTAACTGGAACACCCAAAGCTCCCAGGGACTAAACTACCATCCAAAGAGTATACATGGAGGGATCCATGCCTCCAGCTACATATAGCAGAGGATGGCCTTATTTGACATCAGTGGGAGGGGAAGCCCATAGTCCTGTGGAGACTTGATGCCCCAGTGTAGGGGAATGCTAGGGTGGTGAGGTGGGAGTGGGTGGGTGGGTGGAGGAGCACCCTTATAGAAGCAGGGAGAAGGGGAGAGAGCAGGTATGGCATAGGGAATTTGTGCAGGGGTAACCAGGAAGGGGGTATCATTTGAAATGTAAATGGATAAAATGATTAATAAAAAATAAAATTCTATGAGAGAAGAGAAGCATTTTATTGTGGGCTCTTTGCTGGTTTATGCTGCTACAAAAAAAAAAAAATTCAGAGCCAACTGACCCATTCACAAAGATCCTACCTTGCTGCACTTGAATTGTGTTTGGCAGTTGGGAACACTGTTAGTCATTTTCAAAAGAAGGTTTGCATAATTTTTCCATTTGGCTAATGTTTAGCATAAATCTATCTTTATGCTAAAATAAATTTGGAGCTTACAGAGGAAAGATTTCAGACAGAACTAAATGGACACCCATTACTAATATTTGTTTGATTGCTTGTCTTTTAGCAAGCACTTTTTTGGATAATTTTCAATATATAGAATAGTTCCCACTATTACCATTCTTCCAAACCAGAAAACATTTAAGCAAAAATAATGTTCTTCTTATAATTATCATGTTTTACATTTTCAAGAAACTTCCTTAGTTAGGAAGTGAGACACAGCCCAACTAAGTAACTCATTTGAATAAAAGTAGCCTGATTTCAGAGTGTTACCTAATTCTTGACATTTTACTGGAAAAAAAAAAAAACATACGTACTATGGCCAGGTATCTTAAAACCTCCTTTAAATGTAATTTAATGCATTTAGTTCATCTATAAATTATGTTTTTCTGTTTCCATTTTATATTAATAATTACCACTGAGAGCCAAATATTTATAGGCTACATTATAGACAATGAAGGCAGCAAAGTTAAATTTAAAACTTACATATATTTTAACACTGATGGTTGGCTGTGCCATAAAGCAGATCATGAAGGAAGGGTCTGGAAACAGATGATTCATGTTGGAGGTTCTTTAGGGAGAAGAGGAGTAGAGAGAATATCTTGTGTATTATATGGATGCATCACCAGTCAAGTAAAAAACCTATAGCTTATGGCTTAGATAGGAAATAGAAGTGGATATCCAGGAGGAGAAATTATACTGGGAGAGCGAAGGTGTGGATGTTGCCGAAAAGATGAGACAAGACAGACACATGGTACCCAAGCATAGGTAACCAGCCACATGGCAGAATGTAGGCTAGAATGAAAGGGATATTTTATGTTTTATCTAGTAAAAAACTGAGCCTAGCTATATGGCCAAGGAATTTGTAAATATAGTTTGAGTCTGCATCTTATTTCTGGGAGGACGAACCAGGGCTTAACTTCTACAAAGAGGTGAAGGAGTTTGGATAGCCAGATAAAAAACTAAAAGCATGAGTTTGGGGACTGTTTCCAATATTGACAGTGGATGCTTACCCATACATAGACATCTCAGAAGTATTCCACTAGAAAATTAATGTAATTTAACACTGGGTTTCATTTGTCCTTGCTGGATTACTTTTCCCAGGTATCTTAACTCCTTTGAAACTTTGAGCTATCTGTTCATCCGAAAGGCTTTCCATAGTTTTGCAGAATGTGCTGGACAAAGAGGCGGTTCCTTCACTTTTCTGGATAGGGAAGAAGTGTACTGTGTATGGACTTGTCTACCACCGCTGTGATGACATCAGAGAATCACAATGCAGTTGGGAACAAGGCACCACAAGATGCTGCCACCACTGGTATTTACAGATTTACAATGACATAATGTGTCAGCAGAAAGCATATTTGAGAAAGGGATTGGAAGGCAAATGACTTTCATGTCAGAGGGCATATAATTAAATTGTTAAGCTTAAGTTATTTTAAAGTTACTATAAATAGGTGAATGCTGTTTGAAATCTACGACTCCTAAGGCTTCTTGGCTTCTGTGGAGAACCTGCATGTAGTTAGCATGTGTCATATGCACTGTTTCATCTTTATTAAAACTACTTTAGAAATGAATCCATTTGTTCTCATCCATCTACAAAGATTCTTGAAAGGTCCACTATTTCCCAGGTATTGAGCAAATTACTGCACTTGGCTGACCTAGGGGAGAGAACATGGACTTCACGTCATTGTCATTTTCAGGAGATCTAGAAAAGAGTGATATATAATTTGGTCTAACTCTATTTTAGAGAATTGAGAACTTATAAAAATCCTAAGATGTTACATGTCACAGTATAAGGAAAGTATTCTTTGAATGGTGAATAGTATTATGATTGATAATCTCTCTTTTTTTTAAGTTTTATTTATTTATGTTTGTGAGTGCACTGTCGCGCTTTTCAGACACACCAGAAGAGGGCATCAGATCCCATTATAGATGGTTATAAGGCACCATGTGGTTGCTGGGAATTGAACTCAGGACCTCTGGAAGAGCAGTTAGTGCTCTTAACTGCTGAGCCATCTCTCCAGCCCCGTAATTGATAATCTTGAGGCATTTAAATGAATCTTCTCTTGCCTTATGAAAGTAATAGTACTTCAAGTACACACACACACACACACACACACACATACACACACAAACACAGATTAAACCTGTGTTCAGGTGTGAAACAATGGGGCCATTTAACAAATCTGAGATTTATTGAAGCATGAAATTCCTTTTCTATGCCAAAATGCATTTTAATCTGTTTCCTGGTAGGATGCCCTAGGCATGGCAAAACTTGTTTTACCAGTTACAGATGTGTCTCAGATTATTTGGAATTGAAAGAGTGTCAGGGTCATCTGATTTATTGAGTATACTTTATTATTATTGAAAAAGTGACAATAAGAAATATTTGAAGCAATTACTCCAAACAGCTCCCCAAATTTCAACTATTTCTTAATAACTGTGATTTTTGTCTCATTTAATATTAACCTTAAATAAACTTAATAGTGTCATGTAACCATGGATAACAAGACAAGTTAGTCATTTTTGTACCAATGCACAGTAAATGTCTTATTAAAGATGAAAAGTGTTTATTTGTGTTTTACTTGCGATTATTTGGAAGAAAAATTCAGTGGCACATGTCAGGTAACAAGGTATCAAAATAAAATGCTTGGTTTAGAATCAAGGTATACCAAAATAGGTTGACTTCAAAGAAAAGAAATAAAAAACCCTGGATCTTTCAGTTTGATACTTTATTGGTCACATATACACATACAGAAACAGTTTCCCCTTTCAGAGAGAACACATAATACTGCACTTTCTTAATGAAGATTCTTTGTCCACATGGACACAATGGTTAATCTCCAAGCAATGAGATGAGTCAGCATACACCTTTCTACAACTGCTACAAGGAATCCAAAACATTCAGAGGCATGTAGTAATAAAACAATCATTCAGGAGCACAATATAAGCAACATGCAAGTCAACAGGTTGAGGGTGTTAGAAGCTAGTCACTGCTTATCAGTTTCACATTTAATATGGATGCTTCGGATTATGAAGGGCCTATGAGCTAGCTTGGATCTCTATGGTTAGCATAACTTCATGGTTGTCAAGGATTTCTCAATAATATATACATAAATGAATATACACCATATATGATGACAATGCAATATAGAAAAGATATATACATGTACAATAAAGTTTTTACTTGGAAAATTGTGACTTTAGGATACTTACAGAATTATAACACTTAGGAGACAAATAGCATACTATATTTTTATAGATAATAAGTGAAATTCACAATGTCTAGAAAATACATGACAGCTTACTAATATACAGATCTACTTACTGTGTCTGGATGAATATTTCCTCATCAAACATAAGCATCATGAAGTACTTTATCACCCTTCCTTTCCTTTCTCCTGGTGGCTCACCTTAATCAATCCCTGATGAATTACACTGCACCGCACACGTATCTACAATACCTAGAGTTGTTTCTTTTTACCCTGCACTTCCTCACCTGTCATTTCTAAGAGCAGATATCTTTTCCTAACTATCTAAGCTAAGTCTATCCTTAAAAGAAATCCAAACTTGCCTATGAGGTTGTTCTAATTACTCTAGCACCCCCAATATTCTTTTCCCTATGAGGAATTTTGATGTCTGTAGTCTGAAATCATGCAACTTCTCTTTCTATCATGTACCCTGCACATTCATTTTATTCATGTCAGTGATAATATGTTGTCATTCTCTGAATGTACATATAATAATCTTGATCATTATTAAATTAGGTGAGAGACGTGAGAGTACTATTTAACTTTACACTCACAATATATATACAGGGATGATTGTGACCATCATCTGACAAAATATAATACATTTTAATGAGCCAGGAGAATGGTTTACGATGATCAACACAAAGAATAAGCAATCTGTATAATAATAAAGAAAGCTATGTGAAAATCAGGTATTATGAAGATTTTAGGTTATATTTCTTAGTTGGAGATTCATCAATTTACTTATTCATTTGTTCATTTATTCAACAGAAAGTCAATTCAGAATTATTTGGTATTCAAGGGTCTTGAAGGATGTATGTGGAGACTCAGAGCAAACTGGTTTTTAGGATGTGTTCCAAGTCATCGAGTGAATGACATTTTTATTTTTTTTGAGACAGAGAGACATATTAAGATAATACATGCCAGTAATTTTTATATATATCAAGACAGGATTAGCTTATCCTCATGGCTAGGGATTAAATGTTTGTCTACTTATTGTCCTGTCCTGTACCATTTCAGTATTATAATGTTCTTACTGACTTCTGAATGAAGACCTTTGATCAGTTGGAACCATTTTATTCTGAGTCATATTGAATATTTTGAAAGATTTCACTTTATAAACACCAGTCCAAATATTCTTGAGGAAGTTCATATTTGCTCCTGTTTGGCAGTCAAAGAATAGCCATATTCACAAGAGCTGGGTCCATTTTTCTGTAAAGAAAGAAAGAGACTCTTACAGGCATGCAATTATGCTAGGTAACAGTACAGGTTAACCCATTTTCTTAGTATAATTTTCAACATGTTTCACATTTCCACTATTCCAGTTGAGAGTCTAGAGTATGGACATCTATCAAGACTTACAGTGATTATGTGACTATGTGGTTTATTGACCACTAAATTATTTTCTTCTCTTGCTACATCTGGATTTGACAGTTTTAGACAATATACCATCTTAACTGGTATTATATGTTCCAGTCTTTTTCATTTTTCTAGATATAATTCTTAAAATATGAATTAAACATATTCTATTTGGTTAGCATGAATTTGCTTGATATAAAAGAATGCCATTTACATATTTTTGACAAGATAACATTGAACGCAAACATTTATAATCACTCTAGTCAAAGATTATTTGAGTTTTGAATTAAGAATGCCATAGATTAAACTTGTTACGATGTAGTTCATTAGTTGCTGAAAATCTTAATAGTGAACTGCTTTCCAGTATGCAACTCTCCTGATAACATGTTGCTGAATTATTTGAAATCATAATTATGGAATAAACATACATGGAGAACATTACAGGGTTCTTTATGGCCTTCTTTAATTCTGTGGTAAGTAAAAATAAGAATTAAAATACTTATTTCTAATCATAATCCATTAAAAGACTATGTAAATAATCCTTTTATTAACTCATCTTAGATCTTTTCAAGTAGACTATTAAAAACTGCTTTATGCTATACTTCTTATGACTCTAATGTGTATTTTAAACATTTCCTAGGAGTTCAAGTTATATCATGTGTATCTGCTTCCTTTCATTTGGTTGAGTTTTGTAAGAACAGAAAGACACATTTATCTTATAAAATTTTAGCAATGATTTTACATATATTTAATGTTCCTTTTCTAGTTTCTGACTGATGCTCTCTTTTATTTTTTGAGAAATTAGCTATATTAAACAATTCATCTCTGTGATTCCTACTATATAAATCATGACAAAGCTAAATAGAAGTTTAAGAAGCAACAGATGAATTTTTCTTTTATTAAAGAGGTATTTTTATGAAGATTATTCTTTCATATTTTCTTATATATAGTGCATTCAACAGAACATTTGAACAATGTTAAGTCTTTGGGGAAGTTAGAAGAGTTTTTTTTTTCTCTGAACAAAGTGATACTTGTGGAAGGATAAGAAGTTGAGAGGAGGGAAAGGAGAGACAACATTATCAATAGAGAGACAACATTATTTATAGAGAGTTCCAGATTCCTTTGTGCCTGCTAGGGTAACACTTTGTATTTGCTCAGTTCAGTGTTTGTTTTCATGGATATTTATTTGATACTAGCTGATGAAATTCAAGATGAATTGGTTCAGAGTCCTCTTTTTGTGTCTTTGTAGCCAAAAAGTGATTCCACATATCTGCGATGTGTTTCTACAACATGGAGCTGATTAGAGGCTCCTGAGTGTTTGCTCACTCACATATGGTTTTCTGATGTCATATACAAAATTCATCTTCTCTAGAAGTTGAATTGAAATGAAAATAATACTGAATCTTTTATTTGTAAAATTTATAGAATTAGGGGTTAATAATTTATTTTCCTCATAAAAGCTATTTTTCCCATCTTATAATTTTTATAGATTTAAAGTAATTTATCATGATATCACTAGGGATTTACTTTTTTAAAGACATGAGCAGAACAGTGTAACTCTTTCTTTCTTTCCTAAGGCACATGCTCTATATAAAGCAACTCCACCATCTACTTAAATCTTAGATTTTACTACACTTTCTCTTACATGGATTTACTCAAGTTTTAGCACAGAGTATCCATTACTTTTGGTAGAATATAAAGGTATATGCATGGTTCTGTGCATTTCACCTACTAAGAAATGTTTACAGAATTTGAGATTATTTTCTGTTTATCTTCAGGATATAGAATACTTGAGATCTATGTCAAACTTTGAAAATATATTAATCATACTGGGGAAGAAACCCTAGGCAGGGATTTATGCTTGCTTGTGTTATTCATTCACTTCTGCCCACTTTCCTGCCTGAAGTCCCTCAGTGATGAATAGTATTGGAAGTATTAACAACTTTAGGAGCATTATTAAGGGAGTCTCTTAATAAGATTATTTCACTACACCAGCAAATTTTAATTTAGCTTTTTAGTGCCCATTTGATGATATATGATTGTGATTATCAATGGAAATATTTTATGAGTTAATGTAGCATGATACTGAATACTTTAGAAAGTTATACCTCCTTTGTGTAAATTAAACTATCTGTTGGACATTACATAGGAATATTTGATTTTATAATGGCATTTTCATTAAAGTCAAAACACTATGAACTGTATTCTTTTGAATTTGTCATGTGGTCAAAAAGCAAAACTAGTAAACAACTTTTCAGAAATCAAAAGGGAAAACTGAGGCTATATACATAACTTCCGAAGGTCAGAAAAGTGCATTTTGTCTTGTATAAAATGTTTTCATTATCTGATATTGTCGTGTGTGTGTGTGTGTGTTCATAACCATTAGATCACAGGAATTGAATTATTAACTTTACAAAAGGCAAAAGAAACATCTCTGTAATCACCACGCTGTTTAGGAAATCACCGTGGATACTTGTCCAGACAGGGTAGTGGACATCATGGTGCTTAAGTATCCACCAGTATTGCGAAGACATAACAGATGTTCAATGATATTATTTTCTTTTCTTATTCTAAGAGTTCTAACATATTCCAATTCTCTTTGTATATAAATTTATACACCTGTGGGTAAGTATTTGTATGTATCTAATGTCATATGAGGTTGGGTAATACTAGTGCCCTATCCAATAATAATAATAATAATAATAATAATAATAATAACTAATCCATAATGTAAATGTAATTATAATAGATCTCTTAGTGGCATAGGGAATAGACTTCTGATTCTTTCTGTAACTATTTTGTTACATTGTTTTACTAATATGGTAGTAGGCAGAAAAAGTGTCTTCATGGAGTAAATGAAGAAAAATTTCATACAAGCATATCTAGAATGGGTTGTGTTTGACAGTTTTTCTATGAAGAGTGATGTTCTTTATTAAGAAAGTGTGATGGGTTAATTATCATTATCAATTTACATTTAAAACACAATCCATGAACTAAAGATACAGGTTGGAGAGAGGAAAGTACCATCTTTATGGGGTACTTAAAAATATGACATTTTGACCCAACAGTAAAAAATTAATGACTATGAAGCTATCACCAAGGCCAACTTATATTCTTTAATATCTTATTTGCTGTATCCCAGTAGGTGAGTCATTTGAAGAGGACCTGTAAGCCTTCTGTGTAGTTGCAAATTCACACCTGTCTAATAATAACTAGGACAATAGGTCACAGTTCAACCTGTAAAGCTAAGGTAGCGATAATAGTATGAAATCAGTTTTAAAATAAAGTCAGCAGACTTGTGGTGCTTTGAATTACACTCTGTAAGCAAAATATTCTGAGAACTTGAAATAAAATGAATCTGAAAAATGACCAGAGGGAACAATGAAAGGTAATTGCAGGCAAGTTAAAGTCTAAATTAGAGCCAAGCATCTTCACCTTGAGGCAAAATAGCCAGAATTTGACTGATTTCAAGTAACAACAATACCTCAGAAACTGTTTCAGACTTTAAAGAGTGGTTCAGCTGGAAGTATTTACTTGACTTAACTCAGGAGTTAATAACAAGAGTGTTCAAAGAGAATTTTGACCTTAAAAGTTTTGAGAAAAAGATTAAACCACATTTTAAACACTCGGTTTGGTACTTGTTATACATTTGAATAGTCACTGTATGTTAGCTGGCATCTTCACAGCTATTTGAACTGGATACATCTTTACCTCATCCATTATTTAGGAAGTCTGAAGGGTTGGTAAAACTTAGGTTTGCTTTACAGTCAAATCCACATGTCTCTAAAATTTGAAGGGGGGAGTATTTTGAGTTTCTAGTTTCTAGTTTGGAAAGAAGGAAAGTGAAAAAAAACCAATGTCATGGGTTAAAGTATGCAGGCCCAAGCTTTGTAAGAGTAAAGCCATGCCTCTCTACAATGTCTCCAGTGCAAGTATTGCCTTGGATAGCAACACAGATTCAGCATCTGACCATGATTCTTTTTTGTCTCATTCATGAATCAGCTCTGACTAAAGGTTACCTCAGAGGCCAAGCAGGTGTCATCAAATGACACTTTTGTGGTTGACACATACGTGTCAGTGACGGTGATGTCATCTAGCTCTGTGCTGAAGCGGTCTGACTCCTTGATGACACTGTAATTTAGGGCTACACTGTAGTTAGGAGCTTTCTCTGTGGGCTTCTGCTTGCAATTGCAGAGCTTCCTGAAGGCTGCACGAAATTTCTGAGACATGAGATTGTAAATCACTGGGTTGATGGCACTGTTGAGATAAATGCAAATTCTGCAAAAGAGCAAGAACCAATTTTCCTGGAAAGGGCTGGAGAGAAAAGAGTTGACAACCACAAGAGTCCTGTAGGGCATCCATAAAAGGGCAAACAGAATTACAACCACTGCGAGCATCTTTGTGACCTGTGGAGAGACAGAGAGAAATACAGTACAAATATTAACGGAAACAAAGCAAGATAACCCTACTGCCCCCTTTCCCAGACAAGTCTCTCTTTTCCAAGATATAGTCTGAGACTGCCTTTCAGTCAGGATTTGAATTTGGAAGTTGAATCCAGAAAGCAGGATTGAAGGAGCAGAGGAAAATATGACACACGAGGAAAAAACAAAATTGGATTTGATTGAAATGGCACTTGCTTGGGCAACTGGACTAAAATTCTGTATTCCAGAATTATCTGCCTCAAAGGATATTTACCCATCATCTGCATACTGCTATTTGTTGAAGGATGTCCTTAAGGATTTTAAAACCCCTATATTTCCAGAACTCTACCTTAGGAACTCCTGGGGCCTTCACCGACAAAAGAGTACTGCCACAGTGGGACCACTGAGTACCAAGAATGGGATGCAATCAGGAGCCACCCACTTCAATGGTGGCTGGAAACAGGGCAGCTAAGACTTTTTATCACGGGGTCCCAAAGGTGTCTGTGAGGAGCACCAGGTGACATAGTCCTAATTTCATCTCCTTAGCTGTAAGAATCATCACAGCCTTTCTCATAGACCATCTGTAAAATAGGACAATAGTATTTTCCAGCAACAAATGTGGTAGCATAACTGTGTGAAAAGATACAGCAAAATTGAAGAAGCCATTCAAGATCTACTCTATACCAGAGACTATACTAATGTTGCACATTTCTTATCACAGGTGAAATAACCATTTCAAGATCCTTCAGCATGCCTTTAATCCCAGCACACTGGAAGTAGACACAGGTGGATTTCTGTGAATTAGAGGCCAGCCAGGTCTACAGAGTGAGTTCTGGGACAGCCACAGCTTTTACCAGAGAAACCCTGTCTCAAAAAACTGATAGATAGATAGATAGATAGATAGATAGATAGATAGATAGATAGATGGATGGATATATAGATAGATAGATAGATGGATAGATAGATAAAAAGAGAGAGATCATATTATTCCAACAATATAATGAATGTGTATAATTTTAGCAGACATTATCTTTTCATGCAGCAATAATAACTAGTTGATTTTCTTTAAATGCAAAATCTTATACATTTAACAAGTTCAGTCTCTTGCTGCATTTGAGAGAATTAACTTTCTTAGTCCACACTTTGTAGATGTCTTGAAAATGAGCAATATCAAAACAGAAGATATGCAGTTTTTCTTTTTAAATATTCCAGTGAAGTGAGCTGGAAAGAGTGGTCCTGTTGACATTTGGTGTGCGACAAAGTCAGCAGAGTACAGTGTACAAGTTTCAGCTGTAGGCTGTTTAACACAAGTGGAGTTCGCTTATTCCCACCAAGGGGTGGGAACCATTTCACAAGCCGTTGTCTGAGGACAAAGAGATGTCACACTCTATGGAGTGTTTGGCCTCTGTTTTTAGGGCAGAAGGAGAGACACAGCTGTCAAAGGGGTTACAGCTGCAGGTAGAGTCAAGCTCGGAAAATGTCCACTCCACGGACGCATTGTAGTCAACATGTAAGCAGGCGGGCTCTGAGTATATGAAAGATGAACAAACGAAATTATATATGCCAGGATGAGAAACACAGTATTTAAAGAAAGAATGCTAGCAGAGAAGATGAAAATGAGCAGGCAGGATCAAGATTTGATAGGTCTCTGTCCTCCATCAAGGAGTGTCTCCTTTGCAATGGTGTGTGTGTGTGTGTGTGTGTGTGTGTGTGTGTGTAGATCAAAGACTCATGACAGGTGATTAATCTCTTTCCACTTTACTTCTTTGAAAGAATGTCTCATAATGAACCTGGACCTCATCAATTGGCTAGATAGACTGGCCAATGCAAGCCAGGAATCCTCCTGTCTCTGCTTCCCAAGCACAGGACTTTACAGAAATATTAAGATTCAAGAAAGGCGTAGAGTAAACTAAAATTAAAAGGTTGAGATGCATATTTTTATGCTGTTCTAGAAATTAAAAAATAAAAAACCGGGGCCTGGAAGGATGGCTCTGTGGTCAAGAACGTTGGCTACTCTTCCAGAGTCTTGTTCCCAGCATCCTTATCAGGTGGATGTAACACCAGCTCTAGAGAATCAGAAGTTTCCCTTTCTGGTTTGTGCAGATACTACACTGACACACACACACACACACACACACTAGCCTGTTTGCAATGTGTGTGTGTGTGAGAGAGAGAAAGGGGGGAGGGGGGAGGGGGGGAGGGGAAGAGAGAGAGAGAGAGAGAGAGAGAGAGAGAGAGAGAGTGTGTGTGTAGTCATGGGAAAGGAGAGTAGAGAACTCATGGGCTTACAAGAGCAGAACTTACGAGCTTCAGTTTTCATTCTTTCTTTCAAAGATGGACCGTAGTACAGCATAAAAACATTTGTTATCCAGAAGAGAATGAGGATAGGAAGCTTGAAGAAACAGTGTTCAGGGTGGAGAACATCATATCCAGTCCACCATCAATGGGCATATGACGAATCTCTTGTACTCTTTCAGCCACATTTAAGAGATCAACACACACACACACACACACACACAGTGCCAACCTGAACAATTGTATTTTAACACAATTTCAGAATTCAAGACTGTTCTAGGAACAGTTAATTGTTGATGTCTCAGAAGTTAACAATTTTTTTTTTCATATTCCTGGAACATTTGTGCTGTTACCCACTGAGACCTGTGGAAGAAGTGTTAGCGTTTACATTTTGTTGATAAGAAAAGGGGAAATGAGCTCATAGAAGCTGAGAACAGGAACATCCAACTCTTTTGCAGGTGACAGAGTGGCTGTTGAACAAACACTCTGGACTCTAGTTGAATTGTTATTTTTCTTTCCAGGTCATGATAAAATTAATATATTTATTGAGCTAAGATGCGTATTTGCTATAGATATTGTTTGTGGACTATTTGGAAAGGATGATATGTAGCTGTAAACTATTAATATGCTCTGAGCTCCTGGTGGGTGATCACACTTTTAGCCACTGGTCAGAGTTCTCTGGATTTTAGAATGAAAGACACACACACACACACACACACACACACACACACACACAGTGTTATTTTTAATATGCCTTACAAGCTCAATGGCTGGGCACTTCCTGAACCTCCCCACAGCTAGCACACACTCTTCTTTGTTATTACTGAGTTAACGTTTTCTAAATTGTATTTTATCTTTGACACTTCACACCCAATTGGGAGCATGGCCCCTGGAACCACTTTTCCAGATTTTTACATGTTGGCAGGCCTTTAAGTTTGATCTTTCTGTTTGCATGTCATGTGATCCATCCCTTGTCTGAGAAAACTAAAGGTCCCACCTCTGTCTCCCTGTCCAGCTATTGGCCATTGGCAACTTTATTTCCCAATCAGAGCCAACTGGAGGCGGACTTCCTTTATCCTATGTGTGGGACACTGCAAACAGGGTTTTTCGGATAACACAATTGGATTGGAACATAAGCTGCAACAGTCATATTGTTGCCAACCATCGCTAGTAACCTTGGAATCTGCCCACCATGTCTTTTGGACTCAAACTGGAGTCTTGCATGGAGACCTGATTAGGGAAAATAAAGTTGTCACAAAGCAGACAGGAGTCCTTCACACCAATCTATTTCCTAGGGAAATAAGCAAACAAGAGAACTGACTTGCAAAAATAATCACGTAAAGTAATGGAAACTCGAGTTTCTTAGTGCACAGCTTAATTAACTCTAAATCATTTATTAGGCACTGGTTTCATGGGACCTGGGATCATTTTAATTAATTGCCAGAAATCAGCTTGTTAGTCTGCAGAGGAAGTCATAAGAGTTTGATTCATACCCCTGTTCCCTAGGATATTTAGTTGAGATTCTTGTACTGATTCAGAAAAATATCTGAACTTTTATTTTGTGAACAATTCTGAGAAAAAAATTCTGTGTGTGGTCATGGGACTTGCTGCTTTCAGGAGACAAAAGATGACACTATTGCCTTGTGCACTGATGAGTGACTGTGGCTAGAGACAGAGGTGGAACTGGATAATATTGTCAGGGTTTTCCAGTTTGTGTCTGTTTCCCAGGAATACGGAGCAGAATACATGACCCGAGTCTGGATTTCTACATTCTAATGCTGAAAAGTCTAAGCTTGTCCTTAAACTTCTATTGACTCTTTGTTTAATGAGTGGCTTTCTATGCATTGTAACAGGGAATCTTAATTTGTGAGCAGGTTCTTTACCAATTTTGGATTCCCTGTAGTCATAAATCATGATTCTGCTTTTGGCCTCTGAAGAAATATAAATCAAGAAGACATGTAGCACATCTGGGGCACAAAGGGGTAGAAGGAGTCTTCAGTACAGAAGCTGGACACAAAATAAGTGCTCAATGCATGGTTGTATTATTGTTTATTCTTGCCAAATATATGTGACACAAAGGTCTTTTAAATTTGCAAAGCGCTGTAGTCCTTGCATATTTTTTTTTAATGGCTGGGAAATTCTCACTTTCAGAACACTTTATTCTGGAAACAGTTATTGGTTAATGAATACAGAACAGCTAGCCTTTAATATTCTAATGCCATCCTTTAAAGGGCAACAATACATTCTGTGTCTGGATTCTATCCATGTTCTCTGGCTTTCTGCATATTAACAAAGTGTTCTGAAACTGGATATGTTTTGCTTTTAGCCCTCAGCAAAATGATCAATGACCTTTTGCATTTGGTTATATTAATTGAGCCAGCTGAAGGATAAACTGACTTGGTAATTAAATAAATCTGAATGTAGCAAAGCTTCTGTGCTTGGGGGCTCTGGGTTTTCTTTTTGTAGAGTGTTCTACATTGTTTTGACATATTCTGAACGTTCAGTTTTGGAAAGATATATAAAATCAGTGTGGAGCTTTGCACACCATAGTGTGAGGTTATTACTAGGGTTTAAAAGTTGAATGACAGAACTGGAAAGGGTTTTGGAATCAACTCAAGATCAGTTAAAGTGCAATAAAAGTGAGTAAAAGCTGAGTGATGAGACATGGGGGAGAGACTGTGGGCGGGCTG